GCATATGTAATACTTTCAACAATAAAGATTTTTTAAAAAATTAAAATAAAATAACTCAAGAGTGTAAGAGTTTGAGGCATTAACTGAATAAATGGCTCTGGAATGAGGACTGGAGAGAAGGAATCAAAAGGAAACCAGACTCCCAAGGCTCAGGCCCAAGAGCCCTAGTCAGACCAAGTAGCCATTCAGAGAGCAGTTTCAAATAGAAACGGAAGCAGAGAAATCAGAACCCCACAGCCAACATGGTCCATCCTTCTCAAAAATAAACAATAATAACATAGTGAAGTCCCACCCCATCAATTTTGCTTTCCCTGGACTTCCCCTTTCAGAATCATTATTCTATTCAAAATTATGTGTTTGGTGTCTATATTCCCTAAGACTGTGAGCTCCCCCTGGACTTGTTCATCAAGATATGCTCAGAGCTTAGCTCAATGCCAGGCACACAGCAGACACTCAATAAGCATCTATGGAAAAAATGAAATAAGTCATATAGCTCAATTCTAATGACTCTACATTTGCAAGCCAGTAGCTTTACAGCATTTCACCTATACTTGTGTAATATTTTTATTTTGAGGATTGACAAAGTAACCAATAATCTTAAGTTACAAAGAATTAGAAAAAAGCTAAGCTCCTGTAGCTACATTAACAAGAGGATATTTGAAAATAAGATTTTGGAAAAGAAAAACACTCTAGAAACACAAAATTTCCAATATAAATATAGTTTATGAACATTCAGTAAAGAATAAAATGCCTTTAAAAATAAGTCAATATTTAAAGAGATCAGAAATCATCTATATAAAAATAATATCAGATATTAAGGATATTTACCAAATATTTTTTTTAAAGGGAACATGTGCAAATGGAAGAGCTCAGTTCCATGCATGATGATGAAAGTAAGAAAAGTTAGCTAAAAGAACAGTAGACGCAAACATCAAAGCCCAGTGTTTCTCAGTAGGAAAACTGCAGACATTTTGGGCAGCCCATTTCTTTGTGGAAAGGAACTGTCCTGTGCACTGTAAGATATTTAGCATCTCTGTCCCCTACCTAATAAACCAGTAAGATCTCCAGTCACTGAAACACCAAAAGGGCCCACATATTTTTAAGCATCCCTTGAAGGGTCTCCCCCACCCCATTCCCCAACCCTCTGCCATTGGCAACTACTGGTGTAAACGAAGAACCTGACATATTGATATATTTTCTTCATACTACGTTTTTGAAATCTGGGGTGTATTTTACAGTTAACAGTGCATCTCAATTCTGACTAGCCACATTTCAAGTATTCAATAGCCATATGTGACTAGTGATTACCATATTGGACAGCATAGTTCTAGAGCAGGGGTTGGCAAACTATGACCCACAGGCAAATCTAGTCTACAATTCAACTTTGTAAATAAAGTTTTATTGGAACACAGTCACCCCCATTCCTTCACATATTGTCTATAGCTGCTTTTGAGTTACAAGGGCAGAGCTGAGTAATCATGGCAAAGACCCTATGACCCACAAAGCCTAAAATATTTACTATCTGGACCTTTACAGAAAAAGTTTACCAACTGCTAGACTAAAGTTTTCAAAATGCCCTGTGATGAATACTAGTAGAGGATGCCTTTGGTCCACACTGGAATGAAACTGCAGCTTTATTAACTGCCTCTCTTTCCTAAAAATGACCTCACAGTTATTTACATGTGTAATCAGTAATACAGGCTCTTACCAGAAAGATAATCTGGCCCAGGTCACCCATAGGACGAAGGTGCATGTAGTCATATGTATCACACCGATAGGGTATGATTACCTGTGACCCCATACGCCCTAAAAGAGAATGGATTGAGACAAGGATCAATGTTAACATAATATGAAAACACTAGAGGCCCAGTGCACAAAAATTTGTGCTCTGGGGGGGTGGGGGGTGGGGGAAAGGGTCCCTCAGCCCGGCCTGTGCCCTCTCACAGTCTGGGACCCCTCGGGGGATGACCACCTGCTGGCTTAGGCCTGCTCCCCGGGGGATTGGGCCTAAGCTGGCAGTCAGACATCCCTCTGGCAGCCCGGCAGCCCTCAGGGGATGTCCACTTGCCAGCGGGGAGCAGACCTAAGCTGCAGTCAGACATCCTTAGCG